CGTCCGGGGCTTCTACGTTTAGGAGTGAGAGGTCTGACGACCGAGACTCCTAACTACAACATTGCATTCATGTACTGGCACTCTGGCATACAAGGAATAACTCAACACTAGGTTCTATACTCACATAGGTTTACTCGAACTCTCTCGTCATTACAAGGTGACGTGGTCAGGACAGGATAGGGCAAGCTCTTCACCAGATATGGAACTGATCGATCTCGATGCGAACGTTCTGCTGACTTTGTAACCCGCACCACTTTCTAGTGCTAACCCATCTTTTTAAGGTGTTCGAGCCTGCTCCACCCTTGTCACGTGACCAGATACAATCCCTCTGATTCGTTTAAAGTTACATCATTCCATGGTCTCATGTCGTACCTCGTGATCAGAGGATTACTGTAAACTAATCGATTATTCACCGTTAATTGCTACTTTTCTGTTCTGTCACTGACAGTTATCCTGTTCTTTATTCCTTGATTTATTACCAATCAGTAACAGCATTGATTCTATGACTAAATACTCGTAATTCTAAATAAAGGATTTGTGATACGTTTCTTGAATAACGGATGCTTTATCGCCTTATAACAATATGCTATTTGCAATTGTGTAATTTTAGGGATACAGAGTAACAGCCTAAAAACAGTTTGGTTGTTTTTCTATTTCCGACAGTACTTTAGTGCCTTATCGATGCCAAACTGGCATCTGAAAAGCGGTAACAAAACCGGGTTCAGATCACATGTAACTGAACCGTGAGCAACGTCACCGTCGTGCACGCACAGTTTGTGTGTGAACTGCACCCGAGGTTCAGACTACACGTGGACAATGAAAGTGTAAACCCAAACATAACACATGTTGCATTTCTAAATGGCACTGTGTAATCATACACGTGGACAGTATACTGTTTCCAGAGCCCTGAGCTGCAGAATACCCACCCGTATGTTGCACGTTTTGTAATGGATTCTTGAGGCCACGGTCGGGCGTTACCCGCCCTAAACCCAACACAACATATCTAGGGTAACAAGAAGACAAAGTCATCAATATCCCCCGCAATGGCAAAATACTCTTCATGAATATGTCTACGAGTTACAATGCCAAATGTTTTGGCGTGTATATAACTCAGTGGAAGGAGAGTACTGAAAGGTTTCAAGTTTCTGCTTGAGAAAGGAGCACTACGACCAAACTCAGTTGAAGCCAAAATTGCTGCCATAGAAACGCAAAAAACTTATTATTTTATTCAGAAATCCAAAACTACCAGAAGGCACCAGTTCACCACTAGACCTACCTATGTATGAAATTTGGTGATGAAACAGTGAACAGTTTTTAAGTTCTGCTCCGGAAAAGAGCACTACCACCAATTTCAAAGTGAAACTTGTTGCCCTGGAAACGCTAAAAATATTTTATTCAGAAATCCAAAACTACCAAAAGGCACCAGTACCCAACCAGACCTATCGATGTGCCACGTTTGGTGAAGAAATAGTGAACGGTTTTAAAGTTCTGCTCCGGAAAAGAGTACTACCAACAATTTCAGTCTAAGTCAAACTTGTTGCCATGGAAACGCAAAATCTATTTTATTCAGAAATCCAAAACTACCAAAAGGCACCAGTAGACCACCAGATCTATCTATGTGCCAAGTGTGGTGAACAAACATTGATCGGTTTTAGAGTTATGCTCCGGAAAAGACAAATGTGCACGGACGCACGCACGGACGGACGGAGTGCATGTTTAATACCCCCCCCACCCAACGCGTTGCGGGGGATAATAACGGGAGTACATTCAAGAGGCGAGTATTTACATCAGCTTATCCATTCATGGGTCTTTTAGGACACTTCTCCTGAACATCCGTGGGCATTGCTGCAGTTCTTGGATCACACGGCATTGCATGGTCAAACTGTGAATTGTGTATCAGGAAGATTTTATCATTCTGCAATTTTATCATTTCCACGAACTTCAAACTATTCCATGCAATCCTAAACATTTTACATCATTTAACAAAAAATAACGCTTAAATTGAGGTCCATGTAACAAACATGCGCCCGTCTTTGTTGTTGCAAGTGGACTTGAAACCGAAATCCTTGCCCTGATCAGTGGATTCAGTTTGCACTCGTTCATTGTATGGCCAAAGACAAAATGACCACTTAGATATGCAATTCACAGAGATTGATCAATGTTTTAAATGACCAAAATATAGTTACGTTGAATGTGACGCTATGAATACTATATTTACAAAACTGAAGACAAAAAGCAGCACATGTTGACAACAAAGTACAAACCCTCCTTGGTCGAACGAAGGACCATATTGTGCAGAATCGCAAGCCTGACACTGAGAAGTATGAACATAGGTTTGAAGCTTTCTACAATAGGGGGTTGATGAGCTACATCCCGATATAAAATTTTCAGGATTGGACTCAAAGTGACGAAAAACATAATTTACCCAAGCAAGTTCGTCTCCCCCAGCCGCCGTCTATGACGATTTTAATGCCGTTTCGGATGTTATGAATGCCGTTTTGTACGCTCGGCGACCGTTTTCGGGCGCTTTTGTAGCTGATACGCGAGTTTTGTTTCCATTTCAAACGATTACTTTTCCATTACAGATGAGTTTGTTTCGGTTTTAGAGGAAATTGTTGCAGTTTTGGAAAGTTTCTTTTCCTTTTTTGGTGATTTTTGTTCTGTTTGGCGTATAGTTCAGTTTTGAGGATTTGTTCACCGAATGTATGGTGGGTCTGATGGTGAAACTTTGCCATACCAACCAAGGGAAATCCTGATGATAGTTAAGCTTTGTTTTTATGGTAACCATACGTCAAAACCTGATTTAACCCACTTCAATGTCATTGAAAGATGGTGCAGGAAGAAAACCATGGGCTACATCAGCTTTTTTCTGTTTTCATATGGGTTTGGCAGTGTGTGGGAGAATCAAGCTGTTGCAGATCACCATTCCTAATTCTGTTTATGCGGAGTTATTGACTGTTGGAAACAAATCTGGTCAGCGAATATAATGAAAGTAGCAAGTAATCTATTGCGAATATAAATTTGTTGAAATTGAATATTTCAGTGTGGGTACAAATCACCAGATACAGAGAACTCTTACTAGATTCAGTTGCATTAACCATAACCTCGCTGACGACACTGGGAGATGGACAGGAATCAAAAGAGTGTGAGTGAGTGAGTTTAGTTTTAAGCCACTCAGCAAAATCAACTGTGAGCGAGTTTAGTTTTACGCTGCACTATATGGCGGCGATCTGTAAATAATCGAGTCTGGATCAGACAATCCAGTGATCAACAGCATGAGCATCGATCTGCGCAATTGGGAACCGATGACATGTGTCAACCAAATCAGCGAGCCTCACCACCCGATCCCGTTAGTCGCCTCTTACAAGCATAGTCGCCTTTTGTGGCAAGCATGGGTTGCTGAAGACCTATTCTACCCTGGATCTTCATGGTTCCAAAATCAATAGAGAAGAGTGTGCAAGTTGTGTTTATCAATACTTACCAGATGTGTAAGCGAGGATGAGATCCAATATCATGATCTTAGAGATTCCTTCCATTGAAAAGAAGTTTATACATAAAATGAATTGTGAAAATCAGTCATTGGCAGAACGTATTTTCACAGCCTCAGCGGAGGATTAAGTACTTGACAGAAGGGAGATAACCCAATCTCATTTCACATTTGTTCATTGTTTTATGATCTGATGCTTGCTATGTGAAATGTTATGTATTGTATCGTACAATACATTTTGAAATCTTGTGCAATATTTATTATGCACTCCACCAAGAACATTGCATACTGTTTTAACCTTGCCTAAGGCCCCTAATACTGGAATATAAGATTTGTGGTTGGCATTTTTTAGTTGCAGTACAGGCACACAGTGAAAAACCATTCACATCAGATGAGTAGGGCATCTTGCCAACAACTTGTACTATCAGTGTGCAAAATTTACGCTGGTCCTGTGGTCCCTGGCTAGTAAAAATTCATCAGGACCACTAGATGATAAGTTTGCAGTGGACCTGGTGACCAGTGGATTGTGTTGATACTTCAGTACATCTACGAATGTTTTGAACCAGTGAAGTACAGACAGGACCACTAATCATTGTCCGCTCACTGGTCCTGTGGTCTAGTGGGAAAGTTTGAAAGGTTTCTTTTCATGAGTTGTGGGCTCGAGCAGTAGGTGTTTGCAATGTTCGTCATACTGTTGTGCTCTCTGGACAGTCTGTGGCTAGAAGAGGTCTTCCTGTACATTAGTATAGATGTAGTGCTTATGTAGATATCACCAATGTGCTGACATAAGGAAGTGAGTTCAGTTTTACGCCGCTTTTAACCATATTCCAGCTATATCACAGCGGGGAACACCAGAATTGGGCTTCACACAATGTACCCATGTGGGGAATCGAACCCGGGTCTTCGGCGTGACGAGTGAACCCTTTAACCACTAGGTCAGAGATGCCAACCCTGAATCTAAGGAAAACGGGGTCAAGACTGGCTGAAAGCCAGGCCTGAGCCCCAAAGGTGCAAGTTGGGGGTGAGCTCGTGGTCGGCTCTGACATTTTTTGTCACTTTCATACAGACTATGATATGCATTCAGAAAAACTTTGTGAAACTTCATCGTCAATAACACGCAACATACACGATCGACACCCAAAGGATCATGCGCAAAGCTTCTGAATGCTTTTAGAAGTGTTTACTCAAATAAATCACTTGTGTGAATAAATTCAGATTTTTTTCTCAAAAATCGGAGTTTTTAAAAGAGAAGTCGGACAGTAGATTTTGTATTTGAAAATCAGAGTAACTCCACCAAAATCGGAGTGGTTGGCATCTCTGCTAGGCTACCCCACCGCCCTTCTGACATAAGGAGAAACATTGGCAGCGGAATTTCACAGCAACCTTAGTTCAGTTAGTTGCTCATTTTTCAGTACTCATTTTGTCAGCAAACTTATAATGGTGCACCCTGGTAAGTATGTATGTACATGTGTGTGCGCCATGCACATCCAATGATTCAAATCATAACACCACAAAAAGTTAGAGGATTTATTGTTTAGATTCTTTGATTTGGAATGCATTGTTCTAACCCTACAAAATGCATCCTGAAAGGACAGGTCATCACAATATCATCAAATGCTGTTTACATGTTCACTAGATAATCAAGGAGGTAGGTATTTCGTTGAGGATGGCAAAAGAAAGCTGGTCAATTCAATCACATAGGAAATTTAATTTTAGGTACTCGGTAAAAGCATACTGTTTAAGTTTAGATTGTTTTGGACAACCTCAAAATTAATTTTTAACTCTCGGAAAGATTCTTTAGCACTTTGGTCCATAACAATGACAAACAGAATGTTCATTCGCAATTCTTAAATTGAACGTGGCTCAAAGCATTCCGCAATTGGAAATCATACATTTCTTGGATGTCTTCCCAGCCTGGGTACCTGTATCTTCAAGTGCTTTAACAACATCCATGCCACTGATAGTTTTACCAAACACCACATGTTTTCCATCTAACCTGAAATAAGAATCAAACATTCAGAATTGCAAAAGGCACCAGTTAAAGAGCAATGCATTCCCCCTGAAACATTTTGATAGGTTTATAAGTTATGGTCCACATACAAGGCCCTGCCAGTAGGGGGGCTGAATCAAATGGAAACAAAAGATCACAAGAGAACAGTGTTATCACTATTTCAACCCACAGGGAACATTGCAATTATTTTCATGTTCCAAATGAATAACATGAAAGTAAATATTAACTACAAAGTCAAAAGAGTCAAGAAGAGACATGGCACGCCTTGTGATCAGAAGAAAATTAATAAATGAGAATTAACACACTAAAGGCCCCTTCCCTGGAAATAAAATAATTTACAGCATTATTTTTAAAATTTAAGTTACTTATCAGTCATTTACGTGAAAATGTGTCCCGTGGTAAAAAATACAAGACAAAGTCATCAATATCCCTCCGCAATGTCAAAATACTCTTCATGAATATGTCTACTAGTTATGATTATGTCAAATGTTTTGGTGTGTATATGGCAAAGTGGAAGGAGAGTATTGAAAGGTTTTTAAGTTCTGCTACAGAATGGAGCACTACCACCAAATTCAGTCAAAGCCAAACTTGTTGGCATGGAAACAAAAAATATTTTATTCAGAATTCCAAAACTAGCAAAAGGCACCAGTACACACCACCAGACCAAACTATGTGCCAAGTTTGGTGAAGAAATAGTGAACGGTTTTACAGTTCTGCTCCGGACATGAACAATACCACCAATTTCAAAGTCGAACTTCTGGCCATGGAAAAATAACAGTGAGTGATTTTAGTTTTACGCCGCACTCAGCAATATTCCAGCTATATGGCGGCGGTCTGTAAATAATTGAGTCTGGACCAGACAATCCAGTGATCAACAGCATGAGCATCGATCTGCGCAATTGGGAACCGATGACATGTGTCAACCAAGTCAGCGAGCCTGACCACCCGATCCCGTTAGTCGCCTCTTACGACAAGCATAGTCGCCTTTTGTGGCAAGCGTGGGTTGCTGAAGACCAATTCTACCCCGGATCTTCACGGCGGAAAAATAACAAAAATACTTGATACAGAAATCCAAAACCACCAAAATGCACCAGTACACCACCAGATCTATCTATGTGCCAAGTTTGGCGAAGAAATAGTGAACGGTTTTGAAGTTCTGCTCCGACGAATGTGCATGGACGTACAAAGCTCATCTTATTATCCCCGATGGATAAAAAAAAAAACTACTGGTAGAAGTAATAATAGAAAGAAAGTTCAGTTGAATTGCTAAGTTGAGAGGTGATAGCATGATTCCATGTTCTCCTTGAAATTAACTTACCAAGATGTCTTGGCTGTGCAAATGAAGAACTGAGAACCATTTGTGTTTGGTCCAGCGTTAGCCATCGACAGGATACCTGAAATAAAACAATGAAGAAAATACAAATATTGCCAGTGAAATATATCTCATCTTTGACAAGTGTTACCATCTTTTAGACAAAAAAGGATGCAAGAAATGACATTTTATCTTGGAAAGTGCTGAACATTCAAAATACTTTCTACAAATCTGCCATATTACTGATAAATGTCAATATGCGCGTAGGGTTTCAATGATGAAATTGCAAATATCCTCAAGTGCAACAGTAACTAGTGAAGATTGATGCAAACGTTTCATTATCACAAAGATAGCATTTACCCTCTGAGGGAAATGCCACAATTTTACAAACAATGAACATGATGAAAGATAATGGCTCCCAGTACAGTGAAGCATCAGACACAGCTGGTTACTCCCTTGGCACTTAGAATTTCACTGAATAAACAATGATTTTATACCATCACCATGAACACCATTACTGAAGGATGCAATTGTATCCCATTATTACACTAACTGGTCCCCATTGGTCATTTGTTGGTGGTCTAATATGTTAGTCAACATTACTGACCACAAATGAAAAAAAAATCCTAAAGAAATTAACATTTCACAAACTGGTGAGCAATTGTGTTTGATTTTTCTTTAAAAATGCACATTCTGAACATAATTCTTTTGACAAGCATGGGTTACTGAAGATCAATTCACGGGTACCTCAAACATAAAAATGTGGCATTTCTTAAATAAAATGACATTTGAGGCCATGAATATATCCAATGGTCAGTCTTTTTCTGAAGTTTTTGTGACTTTACTTCAAATTATTTAGCATGAAAAAACAGGGATAAATCTACCCAGCGCGTCCTGCGTAATATACGCATGAACATTTGAAAGGACACACAAATATTTTACATGTGCGTCCTGTGGATGCATACATATTCACTGATCATACATGCTTTCTCGGACAGATGCTTCGGCAGCAGGTCCATTCAAAGTTGTCAAACAGCAAAGTAACAATGTTTCGTGGAAATAATTAAACAAATTGAATAAACTGAAGAATAAAATCAACAACAGTATTCATAACAGTCATAAAAGTTGTCAAACATACATGATAAGTTACTATTTCCATCTTTATTGAGCGTAATTCAAGAGACATCTCGGCTTTCATCGTCTCGAACTTAGCGCTCGGACACGACGTTTAATGGCTAAAATATATGCATAAGCATTTTTGTCACAGGTCATAACCTAGCACGATACGTCCAATAAGTTCCATAATATACGTATATGTGCAACATGTTCAGAATACCATGATTTTACCCAAAACTTCCATCTGAATCTATAAGTTTTTTGTTTACGAGGACGGTATCCATTGCCGTAATATGATTGGCTGCCTTAGGGTCACATCCATGATTTCGACCAATCACGACCCTTATAGCAGACTGTGGCGAAAAAGCGTCATTAGAAACCAATCTTTATCCAATAAAATCGCTTCTTACAACTGTGAAAATACTCTTGGCAAGGGTACAGTGATATTGTTTATGTTCCGAGCTTTCGAACGACAGCCGCCATCAAACAAATCGCCTTACATGTTATTCATACGAAGCTTCGAAAACAGAGGTATTTCCACTGTTGTATCACGTTACCGAGCTGAAAGGCACTGATAACGGGAAATAGACGACCACACATATTATTTGAGAAATCTTTTTATAATAATTTCTGATTACGTAAAAATGAAAAAAAAGAAAAGAAAAAGGTAAGGGGATATTATGACATGTTACAAATGGAAAAAAATCGCCGCATTTTTTGCTTCCTTTGTGGTTTATCCGGGACATTATAATTGTGTAAGCTTGCATTTTCATTTAAATTAACTTATTTAAGTTGCAGTTGCATTATTTGAATAATATAATAAAAGATAAATTTCATATTTATAAACAGGTAGCTAGGATTAGACCTTTCAAATGGTGTATGATATGTAGTAGCAATAATGTTTTACAAGCTGATATTTTTCTTTCTGAGCTGGACATCGGCACTATACAAATGTTAGTATATGTATGTAAAGTTTGAGGGACTCACAAAAATTTCAAAAGGACTCGTTACTTTTCAACTGAGCGAGTCCCAGGACTCACTCACTAAAAATTGTAGATTTATCACTGTTTCATGAAGATTCTCAAGTGAGCTGATTCACTTGCACACTCGTCAGAGGGGTACACAATGTTTGTGATCTCAACTGCCATGTGTCCGACTTCCATGTTGTGGAAGCCACAGTAGCCGAGTTTGTTAGATGGATGACTGTGTGCTGGTGATTAGGTGCCCACCTTTCAATCCTGGATGGGACTCAACCCAACAGAAGTACTAGAATGTGTACAGATAAAGTGTAATCCAAACTATAACATGTTACATTTTTAACATGGAGCGAGTGAGTTTAGTTTTACGCCTCACTCAGCAATATTCCAGCTATATGACGGCGGTCTGTAAATAATCGAGTCTGGACCAGACAATCCAGTGATCAACAACATAAGCATCTATCTGCGCAATTGGGTTTCACATGGAAGTTTCACAAATAGCAGTGTATGAAATAGGCCCATACGACCACCCTAGATGGGCTAGATTCCCAAACGGACGGTCTGAATTTACAGTTAGCCAGCCCAATGGTCTGGCAAAAAATATAGATAACATGTTACATACATCTGAGTAAATTCACTATATCTTAAAATCTATACTCCTCACCAAAAATAAAGCAACAAGTATTTTCAGTGTTAGGGCTTTATCAATCTCAATGGCGATATTTGCCGACGAATTACTGAAAGGTAAATATCCAAAGAATGCATAACCTTTAGTGACTGTCAAATTGATTTATCTGATAATATTGATTACATCACCCGAACACACCCAACCTCAGAAACATGCAAAATGTGTGGCATGAATGTGCTCCTTTCTTCACACATGCACCCTGATCGGTGTAAACCTACCTGTAATCATTCCTGATACAACAAGCGGGTCCTAACTTCATTTTTATGGATGATAATGCCCAAGAAAGATGTTTAGATCAACATCACACATATGGACTGGCCTGCAAGGTCACTTGATCTTAATCCCCTTGAACATGCTTGGGACATGATTGGAAGTCATGTTTATGGTCTCCATGTTCACCCCCAGGCTCTGGATGACCTTGAGCAGGCGTTACAGAGAGAATGGCAGAACATTCCACAACAGCAACTTTAAAGGCTCATTTGGTCAATGCAGATACGCGTTGAAGCTTACATTTGTGCTCATGGTGGTCATACGCGTTCCTGAACGCTGATTCACTGTCAAAAACTGACTTGAACCTTCATGTTAACATTTTGCTCCGTCAATGCAGCACATTTGCACGACTGTTTCACGGGTACATGCTTTTGATGATTTCAAAGGTCTATTATTGCTCAATACCATTTCATTTCATCTTGTTAATCGTGTGTACATGTTTCACCTTTCTATTGCATCATTCCATGATTTGCAATTTCAAAATATGAAAATGTAATGAGACTAAAAATGTGCGTTGCTAAACTTTTCGTGAGGAATATATTTCTCAAATTAAGCGTTACATTTAGACTTAATTACTGTTTGGACATTGAACTATTGTATCGCAAGCTCAAATTCTGCATTGACATACATTACTAAAATAGTGACACCTTTCAATGTGCAAAGTTCTGCAACCTCGAAGTGCATGTACAAGCAATATTGCCGAAATGAGACGCCTTTCTATTCATGGAGCTGTACCTAAACGATGGTAACTGAAGTCTAGTGCAGATGCCATATTTTTGCTATGCTTCGGAGTTATTACGTTTACATGAAGACGGAAAACGTAAACAGAAAAAGAAAGGTAACAGGAATACGAAACAGAAAAAGAAAGGTAACAGGAATACGAAACTAAAATAGCAAGGAAAATTGTTCCTTTTTTGAAAAACAAGTTTGCTTAGCTTATTACTGATGATACCATGGTAAAGTATTTTGTAAGATCTGCTGGTTAAACAGTAAATACATTTATTACCCACGTGGTCAACATATGGGTAGTTGCATACTAATATCGTACTTCACACGAGTGTCGTATCCTGTTGACCTGTGCCATAACAACTTCACCTGAGCTTCTAAAGATTTGATTGGATAACTGAGGACTCAATTCAGTTATGACTGAACTACTTTCTCATTCACAACATGTGAATTCATTCATTCTACAACTTTTACTACGTCAATCAAGTTAGACTAGACATCTCACATGAACGAAATTACTTGAAAATGTTACAAAAACACATTAAGAGTTAAATTTTCATGGATAAATCTACCCCGTATCTCAGACACAGTAAATTCTGGCAGGAATTTTGTACATGTGCATCCTCTTGGACAAAAGCTTTTGCTAACACATTAATGTTAATTTTTGTGGAGAGGCAATATCACCGTTATCTACGAAGTATGGATGTCTATAAAAAAAATACTCTCAGCAAGGGTATAGTGATATTGTTGATGTTCAGAGCTTTCGAACGATACCCGCCATCAAACGATTAGCCTCGCATGTTATTCATACGAAGCTTCGAAAACGGAGGTATTTTCCGTTGTTGTGTCATGTTACCGAGCGGAAATCCACTGATATCGGGAAATAGGCGACCATACATATTATTTAAGAAATCTTTATATAATAATTTTCTGATCACGTAAAAATGAAAATATAAAAGAAAAAGGCACAGGGATGTTATGACATGTCACAAATGGAAAAAAATCGCCATAGTTTTTCCTTCTTTTGTGATATTTCTGGACATTATAAATGCTTGCATTTTAATTAAAAAATCAATTTATTTAAGTTGTAGTTGTATTATTTGAAAAATATTAGGAAAATATATTTATTTATCAACAGTGGGATCAGATCTTTTAATTTTGCTGTATATCTAGAATCCAAGTTGCAACATTAAATGTCATTAACAATTTAGTAATATGATGGCATTGGGATTTAAAAAATGTCAAAAAGAGCTTTAGGTCAATGGCCTATCGCCAGACACCCACTCAGGACATTTGTCCTACTGATTTTTATAGGCTTCAAATCACATCATACTCTTTCCTTTCATGCGAGATTCGTCAATCTCCCACTTTCTATTGGCAATTTATGGTTAGATGTTTAAAAATATAGAATAGGTTTCCAAATATTTTCAGATAGCAGTAGGTATTTGTCGAGTGAAGGTGAGTTTTTAAAAATCTTATAATACTCTCCTTTAGATGAATTATTCATTTCACTGGCCCTAGATTGTAAAAACTGGTCATTCAGGATTGATTCAGATTTTGATATGATCCAGGATTGAGTATGATGAAAGGGGTTTACAAATACAGCCGCATTTGCAAATATGTGTTTAACTTTCACATGATTTAGCCAGGGAGCATCATCCATAACATAATCTAGAATGAAAGCTGCTATTTTGTTGTTTGGATGAGAAAATTTCAATTTGCACCAATAAGTAATTAATCGTTTAGAGATTTGGAGCTGAATAGGTTGTCTTCCAAGTTCTCCATAAACCACAAAGTTCCGGGTGTTATATTTATCTGCTTGTACACATGGCAACAAACTAAACCATTATCATTATAATTATGTTTTACAGATTAATATTTATTATTATTTAGTGATATTATTATATGTAATATACCTATTAGTATATTATGTGCTAATAATAGAAACAAAACCTGTTGTGATCTGAATAAAATTATGAGGAAACATGTCTTGTTTTGTTAAATACGGTAACGAGTTTGAATCACTGAGCATGTTTTGACAGCATAGCTGGGAGAGCCACATTCCATGTTCATGCAACCTTAACTATTGCCGGGAGAGCCACATCAATTTAGCCTACCGTATATGACCGTCTATAAGCCGAATTTTGAGGACCAAAAAAAGCAGTCTGTAGAAGGGGGTCGTCTTATCCATGGGTTACGCTTTCGTCAAACTTTTTTCCAGGGGTAAGAAAACAACATTGTATCACTTCGCATGAACAAACAACAGAAGACGACTTTGTCAGTAGAAACGTCAAATTTGCAATTAAACATCACTAGACAAGATTATTTACCTTTTAAGTTATAAGTTGTTTTTGCTGGGCATTGTATTATTTGCAGGGATTAAGATTACCGTGCGTATTTGTCTTGTACACAAAGCCGGAAATAGCAATCAGCTGTGCACACGTTTCCCGGCGAACAAGTTCAAACATGCACAATAATATAACAGGACGAATTCTGACGCAGTCATCAGTAAAATATAATACAGAATACCATTATTTAACCCAAAGAAATATATCCTAGCATCGTGTAATTTTATTTACAGTTTTTGCTCTATAAATTAATTAAGATAACCGTGTGTATTTGAGCCAGAAATAGCAATCAGCTGTGCACACGTTTCCCGGCGAAGAAGTTCAAACATGCACAATAATATAACAGGATGAATTCTGACGCAGTCGTCAGTAAAATATAATACAGAATACTATTAATTAACCCAAAGAAATATATCCTAGCATTGTGTAATTTTATTTAGTTTTTATGTAAAATATATATAATCAACACTAAGGTTATACGGACCCTCATGAACGTGTAAAGCACATGGAATGGGGTAGGAAGCCATTTAAATTCACACATTTTTACCGATGTTACTGTAAACTAGCAGTCAATGGAAAACGAGGCGGTAATCAGTTCGTGATTGTTGAATGGGGTAAAATAAGCAAGCCAGTTTGTTGCTTCAATAAATATGATATTTAGAGAAGCAAAATATATTATGCATTTTTTGTCAACTACACTTCATTTCGATCCGTGAGTAGACACAATATATATGACAGTGAATTCTTTGAATAATGAGGACCAAAGTTATAATTATTGGTAACTGCCAGTTGTCTGTGGTCTGTGTTTGCCGCGATTAGGACCCCATCGCGGGGGATCGACTTATGCACGAAACATACCATTTTGACACTGATTTTAAGGGTCAAGTTTGGGGGTCGTCTTATCCATGTGGTCGTCTTATAGACGGTCATATACGGTATCTGTTTCGGAAATGTGACTCTCCCGGCCTGTAACCTTCTAAAATGACATTGTGTATTTCATAGCTTTCGGTCGTGGGAGCCGTGCCAATTAACAGTTATCAGAGGGGTACACAAAGTCTGCAGTCTAGACTACCAGTTGTGGAAGCCGCAGTGGCTAGGCGTCTGACTTTGTGTGTTGGCGATTAGTTGCCCGACTCTCAGGGTGTGGGTTCGAATCCTGGATCCCAAAAGTACTAGAATCTGTACTTAGAAAGTGTAATCCAAAACATAACATGTTACAAAAATGACTTTCTTCCTTTCAAGGCTTGCAAACTCTTAAAGACAAGATATATTAGTTTCTGATCCCATGATGCAGCATCATGTCACATGTTTAATGCTTTTAAAATGTGCGAGTTGGTTTCTAAGTTGCTTGTAGTCACACCAGTTTAATGCTGGCTTAGTCTACATCAAAACCTTACTATATGTGCAATAAACCAGAAGTGTTTATCCATGAAACTGACCACATTTTTTATGTTCTTTAGTTTATTATCAAACAAATTCAGATTCAGTTACCTGATGCAATGTATTGCCTGCAGTACTGTCACAGACTATCATAAATATTTTTGAGTGATGAGGGAGGAGAGTATCTATCCACAGGAATTAAATATTGCAAGTTACTAGCATTTAGTTACTAGCAAAGGTTCTTGCCTCCAGCCACAGTAGAACACTAATTGACTGACAATTCATGACAATATTGCTTGCTGTTGCATGCAGTGGTACTAACCGGCCTCGGTGTGTGTCTTTTTGAAGTTCTCATCAGCAAACTTAGCACCATAAATGCTCTTGCCCCCAGTTCCATCACCACGAGTGAAGTCACCACCCTGGATCATGAATCCTGGGATGATCCGATGGAACACACAGTCCTTGTACCCAAACCCTTTCTCTCCTGTACATAGGGCCCGGAAGTTCTCTGAAATCAAAGTCAACACATGTGTTTCGGGGCAAATACCTAACATAATGTTAAAAACTTTTTCATGTGCTGATCAGAAGAATTGATTGTGGTACTATCACTACCAGGAAACTGAGGAATAACAGTCCTATTTTAGTTGCTACTTGCATGTATAAAAACTGAAGCCCATGAGCCCAGAACTTTGTGTGGATATCTCTTTGTATCAGGGCTGCGCAATATAACCGCTTTACCGGTTCAGACATGAAAACGATACGTATTGCGATACACTGATCGAAAACGGGTATTTTGACTTGCATTCGGAAAACTTCGTAACACTCGAAAATCTTCGAATATGTCCTTGTTTCATTTGTGCCAAATATTATTCTTATTTTTACTTTATCATGATTAAAAGTTATGAAAGTTTAATCAAGCCTAGTGATTTTGTTGTGTTTTTGCTCTATAAATCAAGAATTAACTCGATTATAAGTAGATTTTTGTTTAAAAATACTTCATGCAATATATTGCAATACATGCTTTCGCATCGCAATATATCGCAATATGAAAATTCTCTGCAATACCCACCCCTACTTCGTATTGAACTGTCTGAACAGCCACCATCTGAGGCTTCCCTGTCTGATTTTGACATGTCGAATAGGTCCATTTCAAGGTTTAACCTGGGTGTCGTTACAAGGTTATCTTAGCACTAAGGTGAAAGTAACTGCCATACCTTAACATGGATTTAAAATAGTCTTAGCACTAAGATAGTTTTGTACAACAGAACCCTGATTGGCAAATATACTGACCATTCAGAGTTTAACATTATTCACGAAGAAAAAGTGTAGATAAGGTTACAACTCTTACCAGCTGTCTTGGGAACAACATCTTCAAATAGCTGAAAAACAACAGAGACATGTTATGCATCAATGGCATGTGCATACACACAAACAAAAACTCAACACATAAATATACACTGTGCTGTGGTCTTAGATTGGTGCTTAGTATATGTCTGCTCAGTGCCCAATATTACAGAATTAATACTTGCAGTGCACAGCATTACAGTTAAGAAAGCTGTGCCAGTGTGGTAAATTTGATTCCATGGGATTTTGGCAGAAAGATGTCTGCCTGTAACCCCCTATTTTTTTACTTATTCTATGCCTAAGAATATAGGCCTATATGTTTTATAAAGCCTAAACCTAAACTTAACCCCTTGAAATAATCTTAAATAGTATACACTTCAGGCAGTTACGGACAGTTACTCTTGCCTTTTTGGTTAGTAATTGGGGAAAATGTGTGTTACTGTCCCAACACTGAACATTTATTTTATCTAGGTAAATGCTAAATCGTGAAATGTTTAATGTGTCCTTTACATATCTGCAACGATGGTAATTTAAAAGCATTTCTTGTAGCTAAAGGGTATACAGAAATCTGCATCCGACATTGGGATAACCCAACAGTATTCAATGAAACGGTTTCATACTTGGACGGTGGTGGTGCTATCTCTGCCAATATATAATCGAGATATTGGATGCTTCCTGCTCACCTGTAAGATTAAAAAGTGTCTAAATCTATTTTACTGAGAAGGGCTTTGTCGTTATTTTGTTCTGTCAAAGATATTCCCGTTGCTTTCTACCTATTTTTGATCTTCGAAACATAACTCCCAGTATGGAACTTCGAACATCGTTACACAGTGATGTACAAAACGAGCTGCGCTGCAAGGAGTATGGTAAACTCTGAACCTCTCAGTACTGTGTTGTTTATGCACTGTACAACGCTGTACAGAGTTCGCGTTCGGAAGTTGTGTTCTGCAACATCATGCCTCCCAAAAAGCTTCTGCTAATGAAACCATTGACTTGAAGTTGATTAACCCATTCAACACTGTAGGCCGGTAAACCGGCCAGGCAGTAGTCGCATCAAAATGATATATAATTTTAGGAACCTAACTAACGTATGAAAAATGTCTGAAAACACTTAATTAACAAATTGAATAAACGGAGGAATAAAATCAACAACAGTACTCATAATAGTTGTTAAACGTGCATTACAACTTACTATTTCTTTTCTTTCTTGTGCGATTGTGTAATGTAATTCAAGTGAAATCTCGGCTTCCATCACCTCGAACTTAGCGCTCGGACACAATCTTTAATGCTAAAATATATGTATGAAGCCTTTTCGTCACAGGTTATAACCTAGCACGATACGACCACTAAGTTCCATAATATACGCATATGTGGTAATTTTGTAACATGTTCAGAATAGCATGATTTTGCCCAAAACTTTCGTCTGAATCTAAAAGTTTTCGTTTACGAGGACAGTATCCACTGCTGTCTTATGGTTGGCTGCCTTAAGTCACGTGCCTTGTTTTGACCAATCACGATCCTCATAGCAGACTGTGGCAGAAAAGCATCATTAGAAACCAATTTTTATCCAATACAATCGCTTTTTACAACTGCGAAAATACTCTTGGCAAGGGTGCTGTGATATTGTTGATGTTCAGGGCTTTCGAAACGATACCCGCCATCCAACGAATTGCCTCACGTTATTCGTACGAAGCTTTCAAAACGGAGGTATTTCCCAGTGTTGTATCACGTTACCGAGCGGAAAGCCACTGGTATCGGGAAACAGACAACCATGCATATTATTTGAGAAATCTGTTTATAATAATTTTCCGATTACGTAAAAATGAAAATATAAAAGAAAAAGGCAAGGGGATATTATGACATGTTACAAATAGAAAAAAAATCGCTGCATTTTTGCTCCCTTCGTGGTTTAACTGGACATTATGAATGTGTAAGCTTGCATTTTCATTAAATATTAACTTATTTACGCTGTAGTTGTATTATTTGAATAATATGATAAAAATACATTTCATATTTATACACAGTAGGATTAGACCTTTCAAATGGTGTATGATATGTCGTTGCAATACTGTTTTACAAGCTGATATTTTCCTTATTAAACATAGGCTTCATCTATGACCTCAGAGTCTCTGGGAACTCTGTGTCATGGTAGTAAATGCCTCTGGTTGACTGGTGTTGAAAGAGTTAAATACATATGACAATGTCCTATTTGTCGTTTATTCCTTTTCTTGTGAACGATCATACAGGTTAAATCTCATAAGATTTGAAAGAAAAATTCTCATGTTTTTGGTCCCATGTGAGATTTTATCTCATCTTTTCTGAGCCAGGTTTATCCCTGCTTGTGTAATATGTTGTAGTCATCAGTGGTTATGATGAAACCATTGGTCTGTTTAAAATTTAGCTACTGGCAAATTAAGGTATTGCAAACACAGCTAGAGAACGGACCTATCTGATGATAAATCTTTGATTTTGGGAATGTGTAATGATTTTGATGAGTAATATATCAGAGGTATGTAATACCGTGGCATTATATAGTCACCACCTTGTAGTGGTGGTCCGATTAACTTAAATGATCGAAGACTGGTCGCAATGACAAAACTACCAAGCAATCGATCATGTCTCATAATCGAACACAAACAATTTTGGAACACATGTTTGCAATAACAGTATTTTTCAAAAGGTTGATTTTGTACTCACATTGCATAAGCACTACAAGCTCGTTCCAAGTCATGATTAATTTACCTTAACTCCAGGAAATGTATGTTCCTAACACACTAGTCATCCTTTATAAAGACATGAAATTTGCAAATGCATTTTGCGAGAGAAAAACCAAGAGAACTACATGTTTTTTCATTATTTTCTGTGCATTAACAAAGATACCTAGGAAAATTTGATAAATGACGCTTACCAATTATTTACCAGAACTTTAAAACCATTCATTATATATTTCTGAAACTACATATGCATCAACCAAGTATTGAACTTGTGCATTTTGATATTTTCATATCATATGCAGAGGAAAGACTTATCTCAGGATTTATGTGGAACAGGTGGGATACTTCATCTTCGGATTACTCTTGTTGGCACATTGATAAAATTACTAATTTTAAATATTCACATACAAGTTTAAACAAACTCATGTGAAATTAAACAACGTAGAATTACACGTCATAGACTCTAAATAGACATTTTTGCATTGAGATTTTCCCAAACCGTTGCATTTGCAAATTGTCTCATTATTCTAGTCTGAAAGTCCCTTTCTCATTATTGAAAAAGCCACAAACAATCTCACAGATTAACATTTGCAAGTTGGTTTAGGTTTCAAAGGGAGGTAACTATCATGAAATTGATAAAAATGCAGACCACATGTGAAAGTCACCCACTTTGAATTTGTTTTGAAAATGCCTTTGTCACATGAAACAAAATATCTGAAGGTATGATTTATTAAATATATACATTTCTTTAAAATAAGACAAGTCTCATTAGCGTAATGACAAATCGTCCCCCAAAACATATTTTTTCAAAAACATTTAATCATAACAAAATCATTAAAGCAAGTCTAGCTTTAAGTTTAAATATAGCTTATTACACATCTTCCATTTGCCATTAATATCACAGTCTGAAGTGCACGTACTATTTCCTATCTTTGAAGAAGGGGTTTGCTTCAAATCAACGTAAACTGAGGGTACCCTCACGGCCAGGCTTTCAGCACTCACCGACTGACGTCGGGATGAGTTACCCGCCCTTCACATTGAGCATTGCTACCTACAGAATACATGTGTTGAGCGTATCAGAGGAAAGGATTAATGGTAAACATGGTAAACTAGTTACAAAATAAGGTGGTGCATATATACTATAACCGCACCAATCATGTCACTAAGTGTATATTGGTAAGTGCGGCTTCAAATATTAAACAAAAATTGTGTGTATCTGCGATGCAACCAGCTCTGTTATATCGTGAGTAAACACTGCCATCCGAAAAACTATGACATGACAAAAAAGGTCTGACTTTTATCCATCGAGCTTTTGCGCTTCTCGTGACTCATTAATTAAACTCGAGTACATGAATAAAATAAGGCGTGTCACTAATTAATACAACAATCCCGTGCTGTCTGCTTTCGTGACACAAGGAGTAAATATTCCTCGGCAATGCAAGAACGGTTGTTCTCACCTGACAAAACACGTATCTACCAATCGGCATCCTCTCAGATAGCATAGGATTGGAATCTATAATAACTATCTTCATTTCACAGTGGCAGTTATCAGACGAGAATCTGTACTTAACATGACATTAGGTTCATATCGAGGATGGCGGAAATGCAGATACCGGCATCAACGATTCACGTATAAAAGTTATTGATTTTAAGCTCTCACATGACATCAACATATATCTGGAAAAATACCTCAAAGCAGATACGTCCCGCTGGACTGCCTCCGATGGTAATATCAAAGAAAACTTGTGGATTCGGCATGGTTCGACTTCGGTCCTCGAAACGCTACGTCTATGTCTGATGGCGGGTAATGAAAGAGACTGTAAACCCACGTGCGGATGCCGAGGCTATCTATGTCTATATTTAGATTCTTTGTGTTGGCAAATCACAACCGGAAGTCAACGCGAACAACATAGTCCGCTATCTTGAGTCTATTTTTTCAAGGTCAGCCAAAGCTCTGTAAGTAATTAGCTTCACTAGAGTACAAGTGTCTTATACATAGTGGGAACTACATGAGGTAATCATCAAATAATAACTAACATTTTCTTTCAATCACGCTTCTAACTCCCGCCAAACGACGAGGGACGCCCTGTTTCGGTAAATGTGACCCCTGTACATGATTCAACTTCTCTGTTGAAAACTGGTTGGCCGGCTTGATCGCGCGTGGAGCCTTGCCATTGCACAACGATAATTTATGGTGATATGTAACTTGAAGAGGTTCTGCAGCATGCAGTGACACAGTGCTGCATATGAATAATTATGAAGACTGGCAGCCTAAACCCGTGACGAGACTGACCATCCAACTGAAAACATGAGGAATTTTGGTATATCAAATAAACAAATAACTTTCAGTAAAACGTCTGTGGCATTTAGAAGTTTTGAACAACGAGGAGAGTTCGGTGGATATACAATTTCTTTATTATCAATATTGTAGTAGCATGTGATTTGGGGTTCTGTAACGGAAACCACAAGGCTACGGGTTGTGAGCTGACGTAATCTTTATTACGTTCGGACGAATCCACCAATGTCCCCACTAGCATAATATAATACCCTGAAACAATTGGTGAATAAAGTGTATCTGCTAATTATCGTGTCATACACCATATACATCAAGACACGTGGTACTCCACAGGAATTGTGTCAAGTACATGCTGCAATGCTTACAACACAGATAAAATCCAGTCAATACAAATCACCGCATATAAATAATACCATGGATGTATATAATACATCTATAATGACTTCTAGAGATAGTAATCCGGATGGGATGACTGCTCATTGCAGATACACTAATATGGGAGATAAAATATGCAACACCTCCAGGCGTGTGGACCTAGGTTTGCAAAATCCAGCAGTCACTCGTATGGTATGTGTAGTCCTGTAAGGATCTTGTTTGAGTGGCATTTTAGAAGTTGAGACGTACAATACAGAACAAGTTTTATGGATAACAACTTCTTTATTTCGTGAGTGCGACGTTTCGATACAGATTCTTGTACCGTTGTCAAGCAAGAGTGATACATGAAGTGGAGGAGCTGCATATATATACTGTATATAACAATGAAACAACATAATGTTTCCTTTGTCTATTATGTTGTTTCATTGTTATATACAGTATATATATGCAGCTCCTACACTTCATGTATCACTCTTGCTTGACAACGGTACAAGAATCTGTATCGAAACGTCGCACTCACGAAATAAAGAAGTTGTTATCCATAAAACTTGTTCTATACTGTAAGGATCTGTAGTAAATAAACATGTATAGTGCCACAATATTATCTATATACAAGTCAATACACACCACACATGGCTAATGCATGTCATTACATGCTAACTACAATAGTACATTGTATTATACCTACATCATTCCATGCACACTTACGCACATGCACATGCACATATATATATCCACAAACACGTACGTACATACCAACGTGATGTAATTACATTTTTTTCACACTGCATAACATGCATGGGTTTACGTCAATACAATAGTTACATTCAATGTGCTTGGGTGATTTTTAAAGCGGCAATATAGAGGTGAATTGATATCCAGATACCTTTAAAACCTTTCACTGTAGAGTAGGGCTGCTTATTATTCGAATGCTTTAGAGTGACTAATTAGCAGGTCAACCACTGAGTTGAATCTGCGTGATAACTGCATGAGCTAGGCAAAAGACTGAGGCAGGATAAGGGCTTCGGCTTTTGTAAGGTTGGTGATCGTGCATTGACTGACATGCTTTGCTGGCGCTTGCTTCAGTTGTATTGTAAGATAGGGCAACCACATGCTAAAATAACCATATTTAAAGGTGTGCATTATGTACATAGAAACAGGTACATCTCACTTAGCATGACTAACTAAGATAAAATATAACACTGTAACCCAAAATACTACTGCCACAATGTGAGCGATGTTTCTCTGTAGCTACTAACACCGTCAGCAAGCAAGTGCTTGATAACGGTGCTCGTAGTTCAAACTGAAAAACAACAACACGCGTGCAGGAACACGAATGCCAGTGTATCCAGCCAAACATCTATTTGATGCATGCCTGTGCACACGCCTCATTTTCCCATTCTAGTCGTAATACCGGCCAGTTTATTTGCCCCATAAAATTATCAATTTAAGAGATAGAGGTATTAATTTGGTCACCAACTGTTGTTACAACAACCAACCATCTACTGAGAATTGAGAGAGAGAGAGAGAGAGAGAGAGAGAGAGAGAGAGAGAGAGAGGCGTGCATCTGACGGCATTATATGTTGGGCTGGATACACTGGCATGCATTTGTGTTCCTGTACGCGTGTAGTTTTTCAGTTTTAACACTATATTATGTTCCATGATGGTGACGTGCTATATCGTTTTGTTTGTTGTTAATGCCGCACTCAGCAATATTCCAGCTGTATGGTGGCGGTCTGTAAGTATAATCGGGTCTGAATCAACATCATGTCATGAACATCGATGTACGTAATTGGGATACGATGACATGTGTCAACCAAGACAGCGAGCCTGACCACCCGATTGATCCCATTACGGCAAGTATGGGTTGCCAAAGGCCAATTCTAACCCGGATCTTCAGAGGTTTGAAAGGGTCAGATTAATGAACAAACAGGATGAGATGGTCCATGCATGTCATCCTATCCCATTTAAACAGTTTGATGTCATTCACGGGATTGTCTGGTCCAGAATGGATTATGAATGTACATTGCCTAATACAGCGTCTGACAACAAACAGCTGATAAGGTGTTTGTTGACTGTTTCTTGTCCGTGAGCCGCAGCACAAGCTTGTACTATATCAGCTGTGGTTTCATTGACAGTGAGCTGCCTTATAGTGGACATGGCCACTTATCGACGACTGTTAATAAGGATTGGGACGGTGGGGTAGCCTAGTGGTTAAAGCGTTCGCTCGTCACGCCGAAGGCCCGGGTTCGATTCCCCACATGGGTACAATTTGTGAAGCCCATTTCTGGTGTCCCCTGCCGTGATATTGCTGGAATATTGCTAAAAACGGCGTAAAACTAAACCCAGTCAGTCAGTCAGTGATAAGGATTGTTTGGGTTGTTGTTTGACGCAACTCTCATTAACATTCCAGATACAAGTATATGGCGGCAGTCTGTAAATAGTCGAGTCTGGACCAGACAATCCAGTGGTCAACAGCATGAGCATCAATCTTCACAAATGGGAACAAATAGGTCAGCCTGACCACCCGATTCCGTTATTCGCCTTTTAGGACACGCATAGGTGGCTGAATATCAATTAATGGCAAACAAATTTTATTTCGTGAGTGCTGACGTTTTGATAAAGATTCTTGTACCTTTGTCAAGCAGGAATGAAAAGCTGCTTTACAACGGTACAAGAATCTGTATCGAAATGTAGCACTCACGAAAAAAAAGAGTTATCATCCACACAGTTTATCAAAGCAGTGTCAGTAACATGCGACTATAGATAATGAACGCAAGTCTGCGTCATGTTTAGTGTTTGTGACACGACACACTATTGTGGACACTAAACTCACACACACTGGCCATGTGTAGATTTAGTAACACGACACACTATTGTGGACACTAAACTCACATACACTGGCCATGTGTAGATTTAGTAACACGACACACTATTGTGGACAGTAAACTCACATGCATTGGCCATGTGTAGATTTAGTAACACGACACACTATTGTGGACACTAAACTCACATACACTGGCCATGTGTAGATTTAGTAACACGACACACTATTGTGGACAAGTAAACTCACATACACTGGCCATGTGTAGATTTAGTAACACGACACACTATTGTAGGACACTAAACTCACATACACTGGCCATGTGTAGATTTAGTAACACGACACACTATTGTGGACAGTAAACTCACATACACTGGCCATGTGTAGATTTAGTAACAAACGACACACTGGTCATGTGTAGATTTAGTAACACGACACTCTATTGTAGACACTAAACTCACATACACTGTCCATGTGTAGATTTAGTAACACGACACACTATTGTAGACACTAAGTTCACATACACTGTCCATGTGTAGATTTAGTAACTCGACACATTATTGTAGACACTAAACTCACATACACTGTCCATGTGTAGATTTAGTAACTCGACACACTATTGTAGACACTAAACTCACATACACTGGCTATGTGTAGATTTAGTAACACGACACACTATTGTAGACTTTAAACTCACATACACTGTCCATGTGTAGATTTAGTAACGCGACACACTATTGTGGACACTAAACTCACATACACTGCCTATGCGTAGATTTAGTAACACGACACACTATTGTGGACACTAAACTCACATACAATGGGTATATGTAGATTTAGTAACACGACACACTATTGTGGACAGTAAACTCACATACACTGGCCATGTGTAGATTTAGTAACACGACACACTATTGTGGACAGTAAACTCACATACACTGGCCATGTGTAGATTTAGTAACACGACACACTATTGTAGACTTTAAACTCACATACACTGGTCATGTGTAGATTTAGTAACGCGACACTCTATTGTAGACACTAAACTCACATACACTGTCCATATGTAGACACACTAGTAGACACTCACATACACTATTGTAGACCGCGACGAAACTCACATAAACTCACATCTAACTGGCCATGTGTAGATTTAGTAACACGACACACTATTGTGGACAGTAAACTCACATACACTGGCCATGTGTAGATTTAGTAACCACGACACACTATTGTAGATTTAGTACAGTAAACCGCACATACATACTGTCCATGTGTAGACCACTTAGTAACACTGCGAGTACAGATTTAGTAACACACTATTGTAGACACTAAACTCACATACACTGTCCATATGTAGATTTAG